TTTTGTCTTTAATGCTTTCAGCAAAAAGACCCCACCAGCAGTACGTGGGTGTTTTTTCCAAACAAACTAAAATGAACTGCTACTCACTTGTTCACACATTTATTACTTAATAATTAAAAGCTGGTTTTACTCAATAAATAGTGTAGCAACATGGGGTTTTTTTGCACATGTAAAGAAACCCTATTCTCTGGAAACAAATTCATGCAGGTTTAAATTAAATAGAAACTTTAGTTTGCTTCTTGATACATAGGAGCAATTCTACTCCTTTTCCCTTTTTACAATTATGATAAATTATGTGGTAAATAATTTTTAGTTGAGTGAACTTGGAACAAATCAATTTCTTTCAAATTCTCTTTTTGGCACCCATGCAGCCTTATAAATACTTGGTGGGTAATTTGAAAATGTACTGAAGTTAAAATATAGAATATTAGTTTTAAAACCCACAGGACCAGGAAAACACAAACAGGTGTTGATAAACACAAGCACATTTGCTATAGTTTGAAATGCTAAGCCATTTAAAATTTTAGTGATCATAACTGGATTCCAATTCATATCCAGCAGTGTTTTGACATCACAAATTAAAAAAAAAAGTTTCATTCTTAACACTCTCAGATAGTAAAATCAGGAACACAAAAATACATATTCAGCTTCCTGACTACTTAACTGTATTTTTCTTAGCAAGACAAAATAGCATTTTTAATAAAAAGCTTGCATTTAAAAGATCCTGACATGAAAATTACATGTTGCCAACATAAGGGAATCAGCTTTATCTTAAAAATTTTTTAAAAATTAAGTCAACTACTCCAAGTCTCCAACCTCCTTGCATGAAAGACACAGTTTTATACTACTGTAATTTAAAAACAAGACCAAAGTCTAGTTAGTAGAGAAGTTAGGGCAAATAGCTTTGTTACCCCCTTCCTCAAAAATGAAGGTCTGTATACATTAATTAATTGAGTAACACTTCCTTTACAGCTTAAGCCCTTCCAGAAACTTGAGAAAATGCTGGGCTAAATGTCAGCTTTGGCTAGAGTAAGAATTCAGGCTGACAATAGCTAAAGGAAGTAATACAAGTTGTAGCAGCTCTAGTTACATCACGCAATACTGAAGATCCAGGTTTGAGTCTATTGTCATCTGTTCAAACAGTATAACTAGGGGCAGTAAAAGCTTCTGCATGGAACTCTTTGGAGCCTCTTGTTTTATTTAGAGAAGCTCAGTGCTCAGATGGCATCTGCTGTCCATGTGTTTTATCTAGGTATCACTCTTTTACATGCCAAGTGAGAGTGTGGAAATGACTGGAGACAGGAGAGCCTACCTTCCATGCATTGAGTGTATGATAAGCATATCTACATGAAAAGAGACACAGAGAATTCGGATCACATATGGATTACACTCAAACCAGTTCAAGATGCTCTTTTTCTTCCCTTTTCCTCCTCAATTTGGGAAGAACTGCCTTCTTCCAGTTTGCTCCTCCATGCATCAACAGTTATTCAGAATTAATACAAACTCATGAAAATCTTTTCTTGGTGTCAATTTCATTACTTAAGAATTTCTTCATGATACAGCTCACTCAGAAGTTTGTTGTTATAAATTAGTGTGAATTAATTTTAAAAGAACTCATTTACATACCAACACTACTAGCTCCCATATAACTTCAAATGTTACATACCTAAGTAGTTAAGTATCATATTTGCTTCAGTTAACATTATGAATTTGATCAGGAACAGTATTTAAAAGCCTCCTCTAACTTACCTGTGATGTAGCCTTCTAAAGCTTTTGGCACCAGTGATTTTGCAGTTCTTAGATCCTCTGCTGAGCATTTGCCTGCCTCAAGCCCAAAGGACATTCCCATTCTCTTCAGCACCTCACTGTCATCGTGAATCTCAAAGGTGTTGTCAAAATTAAAGAGGTATTCAAATCTGCATGTAAAAAGTCCAAGTGAGATCATTTTAAGAAGAGCACAGCTATGCTTTTTTTTGCTTATTTTCTGGGTGTGCACTGAGGTAAGTTTCTAGATTCTTCATTATCTGTAAAGTACCCTTAAGGGAAAAATAAATGCAGCAGATGCTTTTTCTCTTCTGTTTCTGTGACTAGCGTGCCTGCACAGTTTAAAATGGCAATTTGTCAATTAATGTAATTTCACCACTGCGAGAAGAAAATCTAAAATTTTCTACCTCATTAAACAAATTCAAAGGACTCTTGCCCTCTTTGGAGGCTTTACTAAACATGAACCTTCAGTTGTGCTAAATCAAATGCTTTTAAAGGTCACCTGCAGCTCTGTCACCAAAGGAACTATTTTGGATTTGTTTTCTTTTACATTTCACTTTCTGTTTGAATGTGCAACACTCCTCCTGTGAACTGACCTATTTACCTTGGTATAACTTTGCTTTTTTGGATGCATTTGGATGCAGCTAGCAGAGCAGTCTGTCCAGAGTCCTGTATGAACAGAACTTACCATTTCTGCTGCAGGATTATCAACATCTTTTTCATAGCATACAAAAGTGGAATTAGTGATAAAATAGCTTTAAGAAAAGCAGGGGGATTTACACTGTCCTCATGCTATGAGCACAGGCTATTAAAAGCCTTGACACCACCAGTCCAGGGATTACAATGTAAGGCTACATCCCAGTACCTCATTTTCTGCTAACAAAACCCTTCACCCCTGGAAAAGCAATCCATCCATGAGATGTGATCTTTAAAAGATGTCATTGGTGGGACTTCGATTATCTTTCCAAGCTGATATCATGTGTGGCTCTTCTTGACAATTTTTTTTTCAATACTAATTTTTGTTTAGAAAAGTGAAAACTTTTGTACGTATACAGAAAATCTTAATCTAGAAATCTACATACTTAGTGCTAGGTCTAATTGTTGGTTACAGGCGTAATTTCTTTTGTGACCTGTACAGTATTATTATGCAGCTGTATTTATTTAAGCATAACTATGCGTTACACTATTCACTCCTTTCCTAGTTACTTGAAGTTTTCATTCAAGGACTTGACATGACCAACATCAAATGCTACCATCTGCATCTACTAACTGGTACAATATATATATTCTGTCTAGCACCTGTCACCTGGCCACTTCTCTTAAAGTCTCTTAGTTTTAACTGTAATAAGCAACGCTGTATAGCTGTTCTCTATGCACATTCTCCATGTCACCCATGATTTTACAGACACCTGTGAATCTGCTGTCCTCTCTTTTCTAGGTCAAAAAGTCCATCTGTTCCTTCTGTGAAAGGCTTTTCATAGCTTCAGTCACTCTTGCTACCCTATGTGTCTGTCTTCTGGTTATGCTATGCTTTTTCCAAGAACAAGACAGTACAGAGTATTCCAGATATAAAAGCTCTACATGCATCTAGTTTTATATTGTATTCCTTACTGTTTTTCCAAATAATTCCCAGAATTATTTTGGCTGTTACTGAGAAATCAACTTTTGTTCTGCCATCTTACTATTCAGTTTGAGTACAGTTCCAAGCAGCTGGAATTTTCCCAAGCAATTATTTTACTTTGGAAGATCCTCTATACCTAAAATTTTGAGTGGCTTAATGCTGTGAGCTTAGCCGTTCATTGGACTTTCTAACATCACCTCCTTGTGCATCATAAATACTGATAAGCCAAAGGTTATATAAATATTACCTGGGAGAAGAAAGGAAAATGGAAGCCCTTTAAACAGTGGGTTATCGACTGAGGATGAAACTAAGTGAAGGGCAAGCACTCAAGTTGACTAGTCAGGGGTTAGGCAGCACAACACTCTCCAGTACAGTTCAGAATTTGGATTCTCCTAACTGAGTGACCACTTCTGCCAACTGCCTTGTTTAGCACATCAATATAACAGTGATTATTTAAACACTAGCATTTTCTGGCACTGTTTGTCTACACACTGCTGCTGCCACTCATCTGTTGCATGAATAATAAACACAGTGAAAAGCTGGATTAATTTCGGTTCTACAATTAATGATCTCTAGATGAGAGTAATACTGAAGCTGGGTTATATAAACTGAAGTATCAGCAACTGAAATAATCCTGCTGTGCTCATTTTTAGTAGTAATGTTCTCTTGCATTCTTAAATTCAACTTTTAATAGTATTGCTTTTCTGCATGTTGATGCTTAGATTACTAGAGACTGTCTATTTTTGCTGTATGTTAATTGACTTGAAGTTCAGTACCACAGAGTGAAATCTGTAATCTACAGTATTAAAGCAAAGCCAGCTATTTTTAGCTAATAAACTAGTTGTGATCCGATTAACAGTTAACATAACAGTACCTCATACTTTCAGCCATATCTTCACAGGAGGAAGAACATAAGCACCCAGAAGTAGGTAAGTGGAAGATTTTCAGATTAATATAAGAGTGCAACTATAGCACTTTGCTTACAAAGACTGTATTTCAAATTTCCTTCCTTTTTTCCTTCAGAGAGCTGGGTGCAACCCTTTTGCTATTAGAAGACACTTTCAAAGTTGTTATCACCTCTGCCATGTTACTTTTGTGTTACATGGATCCTTGTGTTTCTGACTAAATACAGTTATGGCATACTAGGAATCAGAATTCAGAAGCATTACCACATGGCTTCATTAAGAACTAGTGCTGTCCTAGTATATAATTTCATTCAGTTATTTCTCCTGTGCAAAGAATGCAGTCTGAAGTGCCTTTTACAGTGAAAGTTAGCCTGTTTTTAGTGGTTGTAAAGTAATGTTGATAAACTTACTTATATTCCCATTACTATTACTACTGCATTTGCATTAAATATTAAAAAAAACAACCCAAAACACCCTCCTGAAATGACAGCAGCAAATTTAAATACATAATTACATTTAGTAAAATAGAAAAAATCTTATTTGTTCAAAGAAAAACTCCAGTCTACAAAGGAAATGGAATTCTAGAAATTGATTCTGTAAATACTCACTTATCACTTGATATGCTGCAGTCTATAACTGTTCTTTTGCTAGTGTTGACTATTAAGAAAGGCAGCTGAATTGTTGAGTTAAAAGCTGGAGGACCTTGATTTTGTTGTTCATTTTGCTGGTTTCTTTGTACCAAGTTTTTGAATGCTATTTGCTGTAGAAAGAAAGAAAAAATTATCACTGACAAAAAAGAGCAAATAAAATTTTCTGTCAAAAGCTAAGTTGTGGGTCTGACTTCCTCTTTGCACTAGTGAAGCTCATCAGGAACAGAATTTAAACACAATTTTTTCACATATATCCTAATGGCTATGGCCCCCTCACAATCCCTGGAGAAGAAACAATAAAGGAGCAATAAGGCTTGGTGGAGATTGGTTCCCCATTCCTTTTAAAAAGTCACTGGCCTCAGAGGTCGCTGTTACTTTATATTCACAGTTACCTCAGAGTAGGAGCTGTAACAAAAGTTAACAGAAATTACAGCATCCCCCTACTTCTCATGAGCTATAATCACTTCCTCATCTCATCCATCACTCTCTTCTCTCTCTCAAAAGAGGTAAGTTTTGAAATTCTCTAAAAGTCTTTCAACAACAGGTGTTTTTCATTACACCACTTGCTCTCTGCTGAATTCTTATGTCTGACTGAAAATGTATGAACGTGTATTTTTACAGAATCACAGAATTGTTACAGCTGGAAAAGACCTCTCCCAACTGCCCACCTAGGAGTAAAAAACCAATGATTTAATGATTCTGTGAAGTGAGGGTAAGAGGTCCTCCTACTAGAATCCACAAAGGTCACAAGCATACAGCTTTTCTCTCTAGTGTATCATAGCTGCTAAATAAATATAGAAAGAACTCTAGAAGCTCTAACTTGTTGGATTTGCACTTGATAATTTCATTTATAGAAAAAATAATTAAAATTAACTGTACCTGCAGCAGCAGTTCTTGTAGTTGGGCTCGCTTCTGGTTTATCCTTTCAATCCGCTTCTGTTTTTCTAGCTTAAAATATAAATGTAAGAGCATTAAATATTTAACCTTGTCTTTTCCATTGTACCAAACTGAACAGACTTCAGAGCTACATGAATGTGCTAGTACCATTGCAAAAACCTATACTTTCATTGTAAATGATGGAGAATTCCATGGCATGACAAGTAAATTGCACAAGTCCCTTCAGCCCTACCCACAGTCACCTGAGTTTCTCCATAAAACAGGTCTGACAAAATGTAATTTCTTTTGTTGTCAAAAATTGGAACTCCAGTAATGAATCAACAATTACAAGAGACTCTTATTTCACCACCCCATTCCTCCTCTTTTCTATTGTGCAGAGCGACAATTAGCACCAAATGAAACATCTGCTTGAGGGGGTGCTTTGGGTTTACTTTTTGTATCACTGCTCCCCAAAATATTAAGTTCTTCAATTACCTTTTTATTCAACCACTGAAACTAAATGGTGCAGTCTTTTAAAAACTCAGCTGGCCTAAGCCACCCTGTTTTATTTGCAATGTTACCTTGTGCTGCTTCCTCCACACACACACACACATTTGAATGTTAAAAATGCTTCCTTCAGAGCACAGTCGGTGACTGTCTTTGCTGGGACAAATATATAACTCTTAAAACCAATAAACAGTACAGATATAATTTAAACATGGTTTCTATATAACAAGCTTTTTAGTACTGATTTCTCATTTTTGTACCTGTAATCTTACAGAATAACACTGTAAGAAGAGCTGGCATTTTATACAGCTTTAAAAGCAAAATTAATTCTGATTTTGTGCACAATGAATTGCAGCTTAATTTTCTATTATTTTCTAGTAAGTCATAGGAAGCAACATTTTTAGAAAATAGGCCTGGCTTCCATTTTGTTCATATGTAATTAGGGCATATGATCATTGCAGATAACACAAAGTACCAAAGCTGTAACAATAACCCATACTGAAGACAGTGCATTCACATGAATTAATGTAAAATGTTAATTTATCTATAAGCCCTAAGAAAGGAATTCTGGAGTATAATGAGCATCCTCCTTGGATGGATCTATTTTCCAAGTTGTTGTAACAGACAAGGGTAGTAAAAGTTGTTTTTTTTCTTACTACATCTAGAAAGATGATGTAAACAAACCTGCAGAAAAAAAATGTTCTGTACTAGAGAGGCACCCCATCCACCTTTAGGGTATTTAATGTCACAACTATAATACATATTAAGATGTATTTACAGACAGTCATTACAGCACTCTGCAGGAAATACAGTAACTTGTGCTTTTTCTTTATAGACCGTTTGGCCTGGAGGACAAGCAACATTTGTGCATATAAGTTCTGGTAACCTTGCAAAAACACAGTAACTCTTAGCCTACTGGAAAAATAATGGGAATAACCAATAAGCAAAACTTGGTTGTTTTTTTTTCTTGACATCCTGGCAGGAATTATTTTTCAATTTAATTTCTTTTCAATTACATTTTCCAAATAGAGACACTCAAAGAAAATTTGTCTCCTCTTAAGTGTATACCATTTTGTAAACATAACTGCACCATAAATTCTTTTTACTTTCTTCTGGTTAATTCAGGCTACTACAGACTTTAATCTTAAAAATAATCTGTGTTTTAATCAGTGTCCATTTTTCTAAGGTAAACAGTTGCTTTTAACAATGGCATGTAACGTACACTAAATAAAACTGAACCAAGCTTACCTAACCATATCCTTTCAGGTTATTAAAAAATCAAAAGTGATATTTTCATAGTGTGCAAGAGTCAAAACCCATCAGTTTCAAATTGAGAAAAAAACCTCACTCTCCTACAGTAGAGCAGCTCCATTATCACAACCTGTGAACTCTACAGAACTTCCCATCTACCTTACTTTACCTCTAGATTCTGACATTCCTGAGCTGAGTTTGTAGGAAGGCCGATCCATCTGATTTCCTTCTTCTCCTTTGAAATGATGTTCATGGCCATCAGGACATTAAGGGCATCGTAAACTCTGCGTCTGATATTTTTCTGATCATAAGCCTGCTAAGAAAGTAATACAGCATTAATTACAACAAAGGAATTCTAGAAGGAAAGTCAAGATCAAACACATCCTTCATCAACAAGTACAAGATAAAAAGCCAAAATGGCAGTTCAAGTCAGAGTAGTATTAAACATGATGCCTTCATCATGAATGCCTCATGAGCATGTTGGTTGCAGATGGGAGCTCCAGGCCTGCTTGAAGCCTCTGCAGCAAATTCCCATCCCTGCACGTCTGAGACAGTTGAAAAGCCTGACAAGACCATGTATGGTAGATACAAGAGTAGCCTTTTGGAAAAGCTCTTTATTTTGGCAGACTTCTGTATTTTGTTTATAATTTAGAGGGAGCTCTATTCTTCATTTTATTGACGTGTTTTTAAATTTCAGAGAGTAAGTCTTTATATTTGGGAAGTAGTTAAATAAATGAAGTATGGAGTGTGGCAGGACACAGCAGAAATAGAAGGGACAGAATTCCATGATAAACCAGACAATGCTGTGATGGTGTAACAAATTCCAACACATGGTTGCTTACCGAATCTGTAGCTAGGTGGCTGTTGGAGTTTGTGAATTCTGATACCAGCTCATCAGCAACTTCATTGTATGAAGTTGTTCCTTTACGTTGAACTTTTTCACATACTTTCATGGAAAAATGCCTCAGACCCTTCCCATTCTTATCTCCTTTTTTACTTCTCTTGCTGGAAAAAGGAGTAATTTTAATACATTCAGTGATAATAAGCTACTTTGTTACACAGCAAAAGGTCTTCCTTGGCAACAGGTATCGGAACTCATGACACTCTGTACTACCTAAATGAAAAATTAAGCTGTTCTGCTTTTTCCAATCAGTTTCTTACAAGTTGGCAAACAAAGTACACTGAAGCCTTTTGCCCTTTTCTTGGTGATTTCTACCTTGATAGTTTTTGAACTCATGCTGCTGGGCAGATGCTTAAAGCTGGATTTGTAATTCACCTCCAAGTGGGTTTCACAAAAGAAGCACCAAAAAAAACCAACCAAGAGCGAAAACCTCACAGGGTGTTTATGTGCCTGGAAGACAGATTTGCAGAGAACTCTCGTGTTTGTGCTTAAAATAGAAAGGCTCAGACATCCCCATTTACAGTGCAGCAGAAATTACCTTACTTCTCCTAACAACCAAGTGTAGTATCTGTGCCATCACGTGTAAGACTGCAACACAAGAATCTCTTCTGTGGAGAGGAAGTGCATATTGGGTTCTGTGGTGCCAAATTAGAACTGGCAACTGTCAGTCATTTTCAGTTCACTTTCTTCCTCAATAAAGCAAGAGCTTAAATAATGGTAATGGAAAAAAACAGGAGCAATTGGTTTTATCACATAAGGTAGATTTGGCTGTGTATTTCAACAGATGCCTCTAAAAAGCTCAGCTGTGTTGTTTTAGGTTTTTATTTATAATTATTATTGTACAAGTTGATGTTTCAGAGAGATCTATTATTTTACAGAAAAATATTTCATTCTGTCAACAGTAACAAGCTAAGGAAACATTAAAATACAATAATGTTTTTCAAAATTTTGCATATATTGAAAAAAACAGACCAATGGAAAGAACGACAGAAGAAAAGGAAGAGTGAAAAGGAACACGGGGAGATTTTTCTAAAAAACAGCACTCCTAATCCTTGTGCACATACTCAATTTGAGTAACCTCCTGGTAAGTAAATTAATAAAACCACCTTCAACACATTCAAAGATGTTTCAGAAGCAAAGAAAAGATCATCTGTTTACAGGTACTTCTCACATAGAAAACTAGAACAATCCTGTTTCTAAGGATGTTTGTTTTTCACAACTTCCATTATCATCTGTAAATGTTCAGGAACTGAAAAAGCAAAGAATAATGAATGATAACTACAAGGAATAACACACAACATAGTTTTTATGTGGAGGAGTGAAAACTGCTGGAAGTGGGAAATGGACACCCATATCTCTGAAGGGTAGATCTGAAGAAATAATACAGGTCTGACAGAACCCATAAAATATGTTCAATAATACTCACCTTTCTGAAAAATCTGATTCTATAAAGTCTCGAGTCCGCTTCCTGTCCCTAAGAAAACATAATTCAAACTTAGAAGAAAATAACATTATATATTCAGACCAATAAAATAAATGTATTTGGGGCTTAGCTGGGTACTAATGTTTGCTGTTACATGGTTACTGAAGGGGGGGAAACCAGCACACACAGCTTGAGAAAATTCAAAAGGAGGTGATTAGGAGGTAGCCTGAATTCTGTTCCTAATTTTACCATAATTTTCAGAAAGTCATCTCAGCTGGAACTGAAGGAAGTGCTGATGTGAGCTAGATGATAATCAAATCTCTTCAAAAAGAAGCTGGGCTCCTTTAAAAATTTCTCCATGCGGAAGAAAAATCCCTTTAAACAGTGCATAAAATACATTCTTTATTTTCAGGACAGTGAATGTTTTGGTATCTTTAACAAAAAACAAGGTCAGACACTAAACACATTCATATTAATTCAGAGCAGAAGTAGCTGACATGAATTCTGCATAGGAGTAGCAGTCACTTATCATTGCCTGTTTCTGTATCAGTCCATTTATTAGCTACAGCCACCAGACTTCAGAAGTTGCAATCCCAACTTGCCTTTTGTCCTTTGCAGCTGACACAGTGCACATTGCTTGAGAGCTGTTGGTAAGTTACCTCACGTTACCCTGCAGTTTCAAAACCTGGGCTCACAGCAGATACTTACACAGCTAAAAACCTGACAGTGTCATGGAGGGAGCTGAACACCCCTGATGGATCTGAAGATCCGTGCCATGGGAGCCTGCACATACTTGGCTGCAGGACCCAGAGCCCCGAAGCAGCCGCCGCTTTCCGCGGGACCTGTCTTGGCAACCCCTGTCCATGGTGCTTAAGCGCGGCCGGGGCCCAACCGGGGCAGAGCCGGGCAGGGGCAGCACGGCAGAGATCTGAGAGCTGTGCCCTGGTCTGTAACCCAGAACAAATACGCTGTTTGCTCATTTGATTTGGGAAACAATTTGGCATCTCGGAAGAGGAGTAAACAAGAGGTGAAGCAGGGAGTCTGGACTTGCAAACCTCTAGAACTATCTTCAGCAAGGCTCACCCCTTAGGTTGGGCGATACCACAGACCCTTCCTCACCTCAGTTTTTCAGATGAAAATATGACCTATTGTATAGACATCTGCAGCAATCAATATTGATCGGCCAATCTGGAGAACATCTTGCTGCTTTTCATGGGCAAAGCAATAGTGATGCGCTGCAGCGAGGCTTCTCTCTGGGCATCTCCATCATGGGGCTTGGATGAAACTTAAGAAAGCTAATGGGCACTGATCTCCAGTTTAGGGAGCTGTAAACAGACAGTATAGCTTTTCCCTCCTCTAGCTGCTGGAATAACTTCTGCCTGGCCTACATATTGCACAAAATTTTAAGAAACAAAGTAATCTTTGACAACTCCCTTTTCAAATAAAATCAGAACTAAGTTGATTCAAGAGGTACTTCAGGAAATAAACACATGGTCAGCAAAAAATTAAGCTTAAAAACTGCTCAGCTGGACAGGCAACTTACTGACTCTATGGTGGAAATACAGCAGGTGAGAAGCACTAGCCTATGACAGTCCTTGCTTACAGCATAGAATGAAGAAGGACAAGGTAAAAATATTGTACTGTCATATCTGCCATCTCCTAGATGCTCCATTTTCCCACCTGTAAATCTGGAAAGGTACTACTGACATTCATCACTGATTAAAAATATTACTCTATATATGGAAATAAATTACTTTTTAATTTTCAGAGGCAAAGCCCTACACCTGTCTTGAGACAGATAAGCTCAGCAGTACTGGAATTAAAAAGTAAATAAATAATGAAATACTGTAAAGACCAGATTTTTTCAGAAGACATAAAGATTGTCATGTTACTCTGGAGTCACATCAGAACCCAATGAAAACTTGTTGCTAATGTAAAATAGTAATAAAAATACTACGTTGATTATTTAAAACATTTTCATTAGAGCTTATTTTTAAATGCCTCTTGAAGTGTTTCTCAGACTCTCTCACTGTTAGCACCCGCTGATATGCTCACTAGCAAAGCTACTTGGATATACCATGAATTTATGAAAAAATAAAGGCTTAAATGGAGTTATCAATTTGTATCTCCGTTTTTCACAAATAAACAGACTCTGCCATAAACCAAAATTGCAAGAGACAGTACAGTGAGCAGTGCTTTGTACTTCCATGGTCACATGCTCCAGACATGAAGAGTGTATGCTCCCTTTGGGTGAGCAAGAACTAGAAGCTATAAGCCAACACAGAGATACAATGGTATAAATAAAGGAGAAGATCAGAACAGATCCTCAAACATCTTTAAATAAAACAAAAGTCTTACCCTGGGACCCAGCCAGAAGCTTCTGTTATATGAGTCTGTGTCACCATTGTTGGAGCTGGGTTATATGGACTCCCAATCAGAACATTTCCTGAATTGGTCAGTCTTTGTGATGTGCTTATGATCTGTGAAATACAGAAATAAAAACCACAGCTCTTTAAGAAAGCAGAGGTTAGCACAGCCCAGAAGTCACACTAAGCATGGTACCAAGAAAAAAAAATAATTCTGTACCAGATGCAAGCTGCAGCCAGAATGTGTAGAAGAGATGTCATTAGAAGATCTTAATACATGAAAGTAATTACAGTGCTTTACTAATTTTTACTAATTGTACCATATTACTCTATTCTTCATATAGACAAGAGCTAGACAAATAGAAATAATTACCAGGTATGGCAGTTAGAATTTGTACCTATACACATATAATTGTTTCTTCAAGAGTACATCTAGGTAATTTCTTGATCCCTGTAATCAACGAAGCCTCCTTTCCAATGGATTTGCTCTTGTAATTGGCTGTCTTTGGTGCACCAAAGACAACCTGAGCTGCAGACAACGTATATTCTCTGCAGTTTCTGGCATTCACAAGATCTTGAGGCATTGCAGCAAGCTAGTAATGCAACACTGTACCTAGGGAATTAAACATGAAGTCTGTATAGAATAGATAGAATTCACATTTATTCAAACCTGGTGAAATTGTATGTAGAATGGCTGTTAACCCTGAAACACCTGGTCTCAACAATAGGTCACCAGAAAAATTTAGATAGTACTTAACAATGAAACAGTATTAATTAGCTAATCTTTAAAATAAAACACATTCTTTTTATTCCGGTATGGTAAGATTCATACCCAAGTGGCTTGGACCTTTCTTTTTGCTGATACTTTAAACCTTTAATTTCAATTTTTTAAACTTTGTTTTACTTTATTCCATTTCGTAGTGACATTTTGAGTACTGACCGTACTAAACTTCTTAGTTTCCTTTACTAGTTAACTTACCATGTCAGTATATGGCAGATACTCTGGTATGCATTTGTATTGTTTAAACAAGTAGAAAAAATGGCATCTGAAGAACTTCCCATTTCCTTTTAGCTCATTGAGCTAAATTCACATCTCTCCTGATACCACATCATGATTACATACATGTATTTTTGGGGCTTAAATACATGAATTTATCTCATTTGTTTTTTTGCAAGTGGATAGCTTAACAGAAACAACTGAAAACAGAAATCTGGGAAAACCAAACCAGAGGTACAGGTTAGCTATTTACTGGTTGATACTGGAGAATCCCTGGCTGGAAGGGAAGATCCCTTTGCACACTGCACGCAGGCACAGGAAAGGCAGCAACTTCTACCAACCTACTGCTCCATGGGCTTGAAGCCAGAAACATTTTGTGAGAGAAGGATTAATTTTTAAAGGCTTGCTTAAGGTTCAGCACTGGTATAACTAGTATGTAAATGAGGATCAGTAATGCAATATTTCAGTTAAATATCAACCCAATCCAGCAACCTTTTATATAAATTTCTTGCACGACTGTAAATATTTATTTGCAGCAAGCATTTGGTTCTGTTAGCGTACGACAGACGCATGCCACAAAGATGTCAGGTATTTTGCATACTGAAATGCATTTTTCCACATTCCACCCTCTCTGGGGCTTCACATTCTTCTACTGATGGCTTATATATCAGTGATAAAATGTGTCATAAAAGAGTATTTTATGTCTAATCTCCTTATAATTTTCTTGTGACAACCACTGTAATAACCTGAGGTGGTAAATCATGTTTGGATGTTTCCAAGACCGACCTGTCCTTGTATCTGTCTATACCTTGGTGCCATCTCGTGGAGAAGGACACCAGCAGCACAGAGACCCTTCCCACAGCAGCCAGGCAGCTCGGGTGGTCCCTGTTTGATGGGCACTTACAGGAGGTAGTTGCACAGGCACAAAACTCCCCCTGTCTACAGCTTCTTGGCAAAGCTGCAAGTTCTAGGATGCAGGGACACAGATGTCACAGGTATACAAATCAGTGTCATTTCAATGTCACTTTTAAATTTACTACTGAAGGTTTGATTTCACAAGAAAAACTACACTGTATTTCAGAGGACTAATTCCATCTTAACAGCAAACACTTTTCTTGTGTCCTGAAGTAATCACATAAATTCCCAGCATAGCATAAAACAGAAAAGTAAAACCTTACCCTAATTTAGCAAACAGAGCAGCTGTAATGTGCTAAATCCCTGTAACTAAGTACTAACATTTTATCTGTAATTCTAAGGCTGTTAAATTTATACCTGCAGACTGAATCTAAAGTAACAAACACTGGTACATAAGGATCCAGCCCTGCCAATTCACCGTTGGCACAGCCCCCTCCCAAGGGATTCAGAACAATGGCCACGGTCCAGCTAACAGCCCATTCCACTGATCCTGGGGCTGTGTGAAGGACCTGGAGCAGCCCCAAGGGCTGTACCTACAGTGGTTAAATAAAGCCAAAAGCCCAGCAGGATGTTGCTAACACAGGTGAGATGCCAAAGGGGCACTCACATTCCCACAATTAAGAAGCTGTGAACATTGTCATCTAAATGGTCTAGCACACAACAAAGCCAAACACTGGATGTCTTAGGAGGCCTGTGTTACTGGCTATTTAATCAGAAAATATTTTCTGAATACAGATCTGTCCTTGCAAAGGAGCAGTAAAAGTAACTTTTAAAAAAAAACTTAAAAATAAAATTTAAAAATAAATAAAATAAAATGTGTGTGTCACAAAATGCAGTAGCTTTTGCAACATCTACCTGCTATAGAACCTAAAGTGCAACTAGGGGGGTTCATTTCAACCAAAAGCAGGGTCTTGATAAATCACTTGTCAGAGTAGGAGCTACATTAAATAACTGCTATCCCCTGTTTTTGGCTATTATTTCTTGCACTCACAAAACACAACTTCTGTAGTAGAACTATTCCAGTCAGATGCTACAGGGCACACGCTGTAGCAACACCTGCATCAGCACTGATGCACGAAGCAACACTATTCTCTGGTGGACAGCCTGTGGCTGGTACTGCAGATGGAGAGCTCTGCACAGGGGAGGATGCAGCTCAGGGTGCCCATCTGTCCAACTGGGATAAAAGCCACTGAAGAACAGTAATAACTGCTGATGTGAAAAAGACCCAGCACAATTACTTTTAAAACACATCAAATCATTCTTGCACTCAGGCTAAGTGCTTGGCAAGTAGGCATGAGGTTGCTAAAAACAGTTCACTGCATTGCCTCTTTAGTTCTCTGGCCACCAGAAAAATAAGAATTTTTCTCAGAACCAGATCCAAAATCCCTGGAACAGCCAATGTTCACTCATGCAGTTACCACTGACAGGAAGAGACAGTTTTAAGAAGAGCAGTTTCAACAAGGTAAAAATCTCCTGCAATATACATGAGATGTTTCCTTTTTGCCAATGCTAGAGATTTACCAGTGAGAACATGACTCAAAATATTCAGTGTCAGTAACATTCTTAATGAGATTTTTTTTTTTCTTAATACATTTTTGAGTAATAGTTTAAATGCCAACTGTTGAAGTAGTTTCAAATTCCACTCAAAGGCAGGAAGGCAGGTATTGCCTAAGGTGACACACAAGGTGGTCGCTGGGGGTGGTGATTCTGGCACACCAAGCTTGCTGTACCCACACCATCCCCTCCACCTAGGTGGGGCCCTTCAGCAGCCTCTGCAGCTGAGGCAGGAAGCAGCATGTTCCCAGCACTGCTCACATCTTTGTCATGTTTCCATATTACATCAAGAGGAAGCTAGGCATCTACTTATACAAATTTGCATTACTGGAGTTGCACAACTTACCATTTGGGGTCCAACATTCACATTGATTGGTCCTAAGGTTTTTGGCAAAATCTTAGCTGGGGAGTTGGTGCTGGAAAGTGGTAATGTGATTATTGAAATATTACCTAAAAAGAGCAGTAAAAAGAGTTTTAAAATTACTTCCTTAGTAACCTATGAATAACACTGACAAATTCTCACATATTTTTGACATTTTGGGATGAAGTTAGCTTTTTTGTCTCATACACTGAAAACCCTCCCTCACGTAACATCCTGCAAATCTTTTAGCAGATGTCACAAGGACACCTCACTACACCTTCACTATTTTACCTTTAAAATTTCATGTAAATATTTCCAGAAACAACTTCCTCTTACCTAAGACAAAGAGCACACAGTTAAAATTAATGAGTATACTTCTAGGAAGAAGTCATCATACAAATCCTATTTGAAACCATAAGGACACATATGAAATATGTGTCCATACATCTTCATAGCCTTAACCATTCCTCATGTGACTAAACAAACTTATCATTCAAGGTCTATCACTGTTAAGATAGAGTAAATGACACCTTTACAAACTTACCTGCCGTAACAGAGCATGCTGCTGGCTGTCAAGATAAAGCTAACCACGCTGTCTCTAAGCCAGCGCATTCTCATCCCAAGATGTTTACCATCTTTGTGATCCCGGACTGCTTACAGATCTCACTCATTCTGCCTTCACACAGAGAAACACAGCTCTATGCTGAGAGCCTCACAAATACTGCTGCTGCTCCTCCTCTACTCCAAATTGTACCTTGTAATCCTGGCTATTCAGACTTAATGTCTTAATCAAGACTGTCATGCAGCACTACCATTAGCTCATGAGCTCTCAAACTGTTGTACACAAGCCGCTCTAAGCCATGACTGGACACTGTGGCAGCAGCTCCTGCCTCTGTGACAGTTTCAAAGCAAGCGAGCTGGGAATCGATCAAATGCCTCCCTCAATTCTTATGCACAGTCTCTGCTACTCACTGCTGTCATTCCCCATTTTGAATGAGTCTGGAGGCAGAATCAAATACAAGGAAGAGCTGCCACTGCCTTGTAATCCAGGGTCAGCTTGGGTCTAGCTGGGGTTGTGAGCTCTAAGGACAAGGATTGGCTCCTGAAGACCTACTTACACTCTCTGGCACTAGCAGGAAGAAATTGAAGGCATCTGAGGTGACACGGTCCTTCAGAAGAGTGCAGACAGCAGCCCTCACCACTGCCCTGCCCTCCTCCTTCCATAAAAGATGGCCAACACTCAGCTTAGTCCAGATGGTCCCAAGCTGATGGTGTCAGACATCTCTGTTTCCTGGTCTTTTCTCATATAACCAATTCTGCCCACTTTTCTCTCTCACTTGGTCATGAACCATAGTATTAATTTCTTTTTTATTTTAGTACACCTGTACTCTGCCATGACATAACTAGAAAATAAAATTCAACAGTGTAACTTCTCTGTAATGTCAAGCAGAATCAACACAACTGAGAGAAAAAGAATACTTAGAAAAGGATCTTATGTAGCTACAGCACAGAAGAAGAAAAGAGTTAAGACATAGCAAAAATCTCACCTTTATAAAAAATTAACAGAGATATGAGAAATATTTACAATTAGAGACAGGGATGTTCTAATGTTCTGACGATTCAAGGTGCAACCTCACCAGTGCCAAGTACAGGGGGACAATCACTCCCCAGTCCTGCTGGCCACACTATTTCTGATCCAAGCCAAGATGCTGTTGGCCTTCTTGGCATCCTGGGCACATACTGGCTCATATTCAGTGGCTGTTGACCAGCACCCCCAGGTCCTTTTCCTCTGGGCAGTTTTCCAGCCACTCTTCCCCCAGCCTGTAGCATTTGATGAGGTTGTGGTGACCCAGCACTTGGCCTCGTTGAACCTCATCCAATTATCCTCAGCCCATCAATCCAGCCAGTCCAGATCCCTCTGTAGAGCCTTCCCAGCCTCAAGCAGATCAACACTCCCTCCCAACTTGGCGTCATCTGCAGTAATGTCACGTTTCATGATGGAAGAGTGAGACATCCTTGTGCAGTTTGTTTCTTTCTCAACATGTGGCACATGGATTGTAATCTACTTGCCCTGGTAATAGTTTTCAACGTATGTATTGATGTACAACCCCTAGCACACACATGCAGACTCTGAAAACTGTAGCTTAAAAAAACCCATGGCCAAAACCACACACAACCACTAGATCTACCATAGCAGCCCTAGAAAAAATACTAATTAAGAGCTACTGCTGCACTGTGCCTTCATCTACAAGGCTATCTAAATAAATGTATACAGTCACCAACTTTAGTACATACAAGAGTGATTCAAATTACTTGATCTTGATCGCATAGACAGTTACTTATAAATGAGGTATGTTTAAAAGTCTTTTTGGCTAGAATTACCACCAGTAAGAATGAACATCTTCTAATCCCTATACAAATTCCCCATTTGGCAGCAGCAGTGTCAAAATTATTTTAAGAGTTGATCAAGTTTTCAGAGATGTTTCCCTGCCCTTGTCCTGCCTTTTAAATTATTTTATGGGTAAATATAAATATGTGTAGACTTTTAAACATAGATAAAATGGAAAGAGACCGGTTTCTTTTTATGGGTGAGATCTCTCCCATCCACCATGGATAGAAAGAAAAAGCAACCAAATTTTTCACAGTAAGAGATGATTCTGTTTGCCAGCAGTTGAAAAAATGGTAAACAAAATGTTTTTACAAATAAAGTATCTTACAAACACTTACAAATAAAATATCCTGTTTTCTTTTTTTAAAAAATAGCATTATAGTCCAGATACTCAAGTGACCTCAACTGCTCCAAATGTTCAGTGGTGGAAACACCACTTTCCCATCTCTCTTCACAGCAAACATGACAGCTGGTTCAGTTATTTGCTGCAAAAAGTTAATGTGTTTCCAAAGTGATCACACATCAGCACCCCAACCTGAGGAGACAGATTTTACAGCCAGTATCACCTCTACTCTTCTCTAAACAAAGAGATCCAACTTCCAAGAGCATTCCATTCTCCCCACCTGGGGCAGGAGCAGCCCAGGTCCATAGGATACAGCTGTCACTGAAAAACTTGGAGCTAGCCAGGACTGGTCCCAGCACATCTAAAACATCACCTCAAACTGGAAAGTGCAGATGCAAATACAACCAGCTCAGAGAACAGGCACTTCCTTGCTAAAATGACTAGTTATATTCTATATCAAATTTTTGAAGTCAGTGCACCTGTTTGCTGAAAAGCTGGTCATTTTTAAAGTTTTGAAGGCAAAGTAGTATTATAAACCAGCAAGAATCAACAGAAACAATCTCTTTGAGCCTATTTATAAAACAACATAGAAAAAGTAGAAGGAGGAAGCAGATATCACACTGTTTGTAGATAATCTAAAAATATGTAACAGATTTCTGTGTTCAGCTTGAAGCAGAAATATCACCAAACTAATTATATATACTTTCTCACTCAGCAACTGTAAAGTCTTTAAACCTGATCAAATACCAAATAAATGCCAAGTCTTAATAACACCCATCATCTGGGGACAAAAAAGATTACACTGATCTATGTTCCACTAAAAAACAGCAGCCTCCAGTGATAAGCTGAACACAAAGAGACCCATCAGCCTCCTAGTCATGGTAATCTTACTGCCTAGATGAAAAAGGTCAGCAGAGATGGATCAAACTAGAATGATTTGTATAATAATACTCAATTCTTATATAATGTTTCTCAGCAGTACAAAGGAGGTCAGTGTCTTTATTCCCATTTTACCTATGGAAAATCAAGCATGTGGGAAAGGAACTCACATAAAACTCTCATAGAGAGGCTTTAACTGCAATATATATAAAACCACCACAAACTGAGCATGCCAGTCACTGATGCAAATTCAAAATAAAACCTCTCAGTGGACATATTTGTTTCTTAGAACAAAATACTCTGCTTCTACATTTTTTTTCCATCCCATAGTCACCCCTATTGTTGTTTATCATGGAAAAAAAACAGTGTTGCTATTTTTTCATATTTAGAAAATCATGATCACTACCTATTATTCTCCCTGGCATTTGTGAAATATTTCTACTTGCACACACAAAGAAAAATTAATTTAAAATTATCTTCAGCTTCCATCAGTCACAGAACAAAGTTATTCATGTTTATGCACGTGTGTTCACATGCACACACTAACCATCCCACACACTTAACTGCAGTGTGTACGCTAAATAGCCCAACCTCATACAAACAACATGGACTCCTAAACAAATATGAAGCTAAAGAGGTTTCAGTGATTTTTGTCCTGTATAGCTAAATCTGTCAGATCTGCAGCTTATTTGCAAAGATAATCAGAAACAATGTCAACTGGAGAATGTATAGAATCTGTCACAGCCAGTTTGAAGGAAACCATAGCTGATGGGAAGCACAGACCAACCAGCTGGGGTCACACAATGAGTACATCCACAAAAAAAAAGTTTGAATTCTTAGACAAAACACCAGGGAAGTGTTGGTAATTTGGATTTCATATTCAGAGATCTGAAACAAATGTCCACGCTTTTTTAATCGTATCAATGAATGGTCATTTTAAATAATACAGCCTACAGCTTGATGGTAATGGCAAAAAAAAAAAAGGTCAGAGTGCATTAGGGTATTTTGTAATAACATGTGATGTGTCCTCAGGCTCCTCTATTACATTAAAACATAAATTGATCTCCAAGATCAGGACACAGCATTATGAAAGCATATAGAAAAATTGTATTATTAACATGCTATTAGTATGCATGTTTTCTTGCTACATTTATTCATTTATTGCACAAACCTATAGGCTATAAACCTAACTTTAAGCATTCCTTAGCCTTTAGAAGCACATACCTATCTAGAAATATATGAAATCAAAGAAACCTGTAGAAAAGAAAAACCAAAATGGTGCAGACGATATTTCAGTGTACTTCAGGCTTACACAGACCAGTACATTTTCAGTCTTCTACTGTTCAATTTAAGGCAAATTTATAGGTGTTAACAATGGCATGAATCTCTAGGTACCAACTGTAGGCCTACTGATGACCAATTCTGCTGTCTTGGTCATTTTAGCAGATCTCTTCAGGCACACAAAACTCCCAGGGTTC